CCTCAAACTCTGGGTAGCAACATACTCAGCAGCACCAGCAGTATCATCAACAGCTTCCCTAGTAACATTCAACCCTAACTTAGTCAACGTATGTTCACACTGAGCAAGCGCTTGAGGGTGTGAAATAACGCGCGTGAGATACTCTTTCCGAACCCCAGGCAACGCCAACAAGCAATGGTGCACCGGAAGTTGAACCTCACCAACAATATGCAACCGATGCCGAAGCAAAAGATCATAATTCCGATGAATCGAACCACCGAGCGAGTTCTCCACCGGAAGAACAGCACGATCGGCGATCCAAAGCTCGACCGCTTGAAAAGCGACTTCGAATTGATCGCAAGGGATAGCTTCGCAACCAGGGTAAGCTTTTCCGGCGGCGGCTTCGGAGTACGCGCCGGGAACACCTTGGTAAGCGACGCGAAGAGTGGAGCCGTGCATTGGAGCAGGGGAGAAGTCGGTAGAGAGAGAAAGTGGTTTCGGAAGGTTGTTGGTTGTTGTTGCGGTGGTTGTTGCGGCGGCGGTTGAGACAATTGGGAGGAGATTTAGGGTTTTGTGGCCGTTTACGGTAGTGATTTCATCGGGTTTTTTGCCGGCGCCGCCGTCTCCGGCGGCCGGAGTTTGTTGCGAGGAGATGACTTTAGAAGCGAGTATTGCACACGAGCTTTGCCAGTCGGCGCGTGTGCCGGAAACGGCGCCGTTTCGACCGAAGGCGGAGCATCGGATGGTGAGTTGACTCGGGTGGAAACTGAGCCGAGTGGTTGTTGTGGTGGGTTGACGAGTTCGGAGTGGGTTTGGTGTGGCGGTGGTGGTTGGTAACGGAGATAACGCCTGCATTTTCGCCGGTTATTCTTTGTTTGATTTTGATGTAATGAAAATGAGAACAATAACAGTGCTAAAATGTAAAGATAATGTAATGTGCTGTTTATATTTTGTATAATGAAAGAAAAAAAAAGCTTGGAGTTCTGTAAAAAAGGAACTGCAAGCTGAGGGTAAAGGAAGAAGGGAAGGGGTTTATATATAAAAGAGGAGAGAGAAAAAAAGAGGGTGGATTGGTGAATGTGTGCGTGTAATGTGGTGGTTCGGTCAATCTCACACCTACCACCCTCTATTTCTTTTTTTCTTTTTTTTTTTAAAAAAAATATATTATTTCTGCCTTGTAGGAAATTTTCCTAAACTAGGACCAACTTTTTTTTTCCCAAAGTAAAATAAACAAAAAGTATGGTAGATTCTGTGCATCTACCTAGATTATGAGCAAAAAATATCTGTGTGGCAATGTGGTAAATTTGGTAATTGAGCAAAAGTAAATACAAGTACTTGTACTAGGAAAAGAAAAATTAACAACTATACGGGTACTACGGAGTTTATATATTTGGGGTTTGTAAGACCAGAATCATACTTTATTGAAAAAATTGTCAAAAAAAACCTTTTAAATATCTTATTCTACAGAGAAATTCTTGGGATTAAGGGTAAAAAGTTAAATCTAAAAAAAGCAATTATAAAAAATATTAAGGTAAAAAAAAAAAAAAAAAAAAAGCAAAACAAATTCTGCACAAAAACAACATGCCCTTTTCAATTTTTTGTTCAGTTTAGAACAAAAATTAATTTCTCAAAAAAGAAATTCTAGCAAATTGAGTTCTTCGTTCTGCTATTTCCTCAAATGGAGTTCTCAACATGTGACAAATTTTGGTGCCAAAACATGGCGGGAACAAACTGTTGATGTTGTTCTTGTTCTATCTTTTGTTGTTGATGGTATTTTTTTATGATACCAACGAACTTCTTGATGGTATTCATTTAGATACCAACAGCCCTTGATGGTATTCTCCAACAATTCTTGATGGTATTCCTTTAGATACCAACAGCCCTTGATGGTATTATCCAACAATCCTTGATGATATTCCTTTTTTTTATTTGCCGTTGATGGTATTCTTTTAGATACCAAGTACAATAAGCTTTGATTTCAATTTGTTGGATAATATAAATTAGGGAACTTGTTCATCTGTCAATACTCAATAGCAATGTTGTAATTAATGTGGTATTTTGCTGTGTTCTTCAATTACCCACAAAATTCATTCTGACACTTGCTTGGCAGAATTATTGCGATTTGGGCACAATAGCGGCTAGGGTTCCAATGAGATGATGAGACAAAGGTGGAGGAAAATGAGGGCCAAAAAACACAACAACAACAACAACAACAACAACTAAGGTCTCTTACCGCCATTATTTGTTTTGAAGTATTTTCCCTTGTAGAGAAATGCATTTGAGGAGATGCCTTATTTGAAGCTGAAATTGCAGGGATTTCTTTTTTAAGCAACGGAATTTTGTTTTGAAGCTATAACATTAATTACAGCTGTCCTTTTTTTTTCTAGAATTTGTTTTGCTTTTGCTTTTTTACTTTCCCTTTATTTTTCTTAGAATTGCCTTTTAAGATTTACTATTTTGCCCTTATTAGAGTCTTTCGTGACTCTATTAGTTAGAGCACAAGAATTCCTCCATTTTGCAAGAAAAAACCTTTTAAAAAAAAAACCACCACGATCACTTTTTTTGTTTAATGAAACCTAGGCCCTCTTTTCCGGCATTGACTCTAACTTTCAGGCATTGACTCATTACTTTTCCTACTTACACCTAATTGTTTTTATATTTGCACTCCCCCTTACTTTTCCCTCTAAACTCTTGCCCCTGTATTCTTTCTCTCATTCTTCCATAAATGCTTTGCATTTCCATTACATCAATTTGGGGTTCTCTCTCTCTCTCTCTCCTGTGCTGCACACCATTAATACTTCAACCATAAAGTAAGGTAAGTTTATAATCATCAATTTATTACTGGAATTTTTATAAAAATTGGGGCTTTTTTAACATAAGTAGGAAACTCACGTATTCACTGTTGTCAATGGCTAAAGGAGGAAGAAAGGGGTCGTTTGGACGCAAATCAAGGTTTCCTAATCACAGAGTGAAGTACAAACCCAGGTAAGTTTTTCAATTTCGTTGTGAATTGCATAAAATGCGTGAAATTGGTTAAGGTTTAACAAATTTATTCGAAAAAAAAGCAACCTAATTAAATTGATTGTTGCATGTTGTTGGTGATTTTGTGGTGTGATGCTTAAATAAAACCCAGAAACTTTGATGGATTGTTGAATTTGTTGCTCTAGCTAATTTGTTGAATATGTTCGATTTTGTTTTGTTTAGTGTGTTTGTTAGGTTTAATGGTAGAGTAAATGTGTTTGAACCTTGGTTTAAATTCATGGAGTCGATTAACATTAGGATGTACTATGGTGGCCATTTTGTGACTAAGAAAAACAAGACAACTTATAAAAAAAGCCAAATGTAGACCCAACAAAGTATGGGGTAGCATTGCATGTGAATGTTGAGGAGGTGTGCTATTTTGAGTTTTCTTATTGGATAAAATTTGACTTAGGATTTGCTAAGGTGGGGGAAATTGGGTTTAGGAAGAAGGGATGTTCTTTACACTAGGAGGGCTAGAATAAAGGGTGATAAGGACATAGCCGAGTTTCTTGAAGCACCTGAGAAAGATGGTTTTTATCACCTTTATGTTGTGCATGAAGACTAGGTGGAGGATGTAAATATGAATCTTTATGGTCCAGGTATCACTTTTTCCACAGATAGTGAGAGCAAAAGAGTGAGATGGAAAGCAATGAGGTTGGTGAGTCATTAAATATTCAAAGGGGGGACCACAAACACACATGCTGCATGATTCCCAAGCTGAAAACCCTAGATCTGAGTCAACCAATCAAAGTACATTCCATAAACCTTCTTCTCAAAGTGTTCTCCCCTCCCATAGCTAAACACAGAAGAGAAAAGCTGCTCATCACTTCAGCTACTAAAAAACCACCCAACCAGTTCATTGATTTAAGAACCCTCCCACTTCTACCAGCACCATCTCAATACCTCCAACTGTCCTGTACCTGCCTAATTTTCAAGAAAATAACCCAGGAACCAACCTTCCAAAATCAAACCCACAACCCAATCCAGAATCAAACCCAAAACCAACCCGAAAACAAACTCAGAACCCAACCTAGAAGCTTCTAATTTGAACCAGCTTATTCCATTTGTTGATGATGATGAGGGAGGAGCTGATGTTGAGGGTGAGATGGTTCCAGGAAGTGATGAAGATTATGTGGATTTGAGTGACAATGATTTTGAAGACAAGGATGATGATGATTTGTTTAATGAGTATGTAGATCATGACATACAAGAGAGGGTAACAAGGAGTTTAGGGGGCCTGTTCAAGGATGCAACATTGGATGAGGATGAGATTGATGATGGTGTACATAGCATATTGGGGATGAGGTGGATATAGTTGATTCAGATGATGAAGTAGTTAGTGTTGTTGATTCATATGATGAGGGTCCAGTTTACCCAGAGTTTAACCCTGACACTGATTTCAAAGGCAAGGTAGTGTTGACAAAAGGGCTAAAGTTCCCTAGTAACAAGGTGTTTAGAAGGGCCTTACAGTACCATGCTATTGACAATGGGTATGATTTCTATTTTATGCACAATAACAATATAAGAGTTAGTGCATACTGTGCTCATAGGTGTTCTTGCCCATCGAAAGAACAAGGATCTTGGAATGCAAAAAAGGGTGTAGAAGAAAGTGTAGGTTTAGGATTCACTGCAGGAAGTTAAAGGGTGAAGCTACTTGGTAGGTTAAGAGTCTTAGGCTAAAGCATATATGTGGACACCAGGTTAAGAACTCAAAGATAACTTCTTAGTACCTAGCTGAGTATCTTGATGATTGGAGAGATGACCCTCATTGGAAGCTTTGTGCATTCATAAAAAGAGCAAGAAGGGAGTGTAAGGTAGAGATAGGGTACTATTTATCCTGGTATGCTAGAGAGAGAGCTTTCAAAATGATTTATGAGGATGCTAGCTTGGAGTATGAGAAGGTCTGGGATTATGCAGCAGCAATCTTGAAATACAACCCAGGTAGTACAGCTGTTGTAAAGGTAGATGGAGTGGAAAATCCTCAACCTATGTTTTAGAGAATGTATGTTTGTTTGCAAGCATGCAAAGAGGGGTTTATGGTAGGATGCAGACCAATTCTAGGATTTGATGGTGCTCATTTGAGGGGTCCTTATCCTGGAATACTGCTGACAACTGTAGGGAAAGATGGAAATAATAACATCTTTCTTGTAGCTTGGGAAGTTGTGGAGGTGGAAAATGCTGACAGTTGGACTTGGTTTTTGGAGTTACTAAGGGCTGGCATAGCATCAGTGGCTGACTCTATTACTTGGGTTCATGAAGCAGATGATCTCACATACGTGAGTGACAGGCAAAAGGTATGGTGCTACTTACTCTGTCAATTAACATTTGGCTTGTTTACACACATATGTGGGGATGCTTACTGTTTAAGTAACAAAACAGGGATTGCTAGATGCATTTGCTAGTGTTATGCCTGATGTAGACACAAGATATTTCTACAGGCATATTTAGAGCAATTTCAAGTTTAAGTTCCCTAGGACTGTGTACAAGGAACACTTCTGGAAAGCTGCAAGGTTAACCACAGAGGTAACATAAGCCATATGTTATGTTATTTGTTTATAAATGCTATATATTTGATCTCTAACTTACTAAGTGCAAATTCCACCTTCCACAGCACCACTTCAAGCAACATGTGAAAAACATCAAAGAGTTGAGTCATGATGCATTCAACTATTTACAAGGTATTTCAGCTGCACATTGGTATAGGCATAAGTTCAGCACATCATCAAAGTCAGTAATGCTCTTGAACAATTGTTGTGAAAGCTTCAACAATGTGTTAAGAGAAGCTAGAACAAAGCCTATTCTACAGTTGATGGAGTGGGTTAGGAGATATGTGATGGGCAGATTTTTTGCAAAAAAAAAAAAAAGGCCTCAAAGCTTTCAAAGGTGTGATTATGCATATCGTCCTTAAGATAGTGCACAGAGGTCTTCAGCAAGTGTTTAACATGAGAGTCAATCAAGCTAACCTGATGGAATTTGAGGTTGATGACTCAAAAGACACTTATGTAGTCAACCTGGAAAACAAGGCATGTAGTTGCAATAGATGGACATTGATGGGAATACCCTGTTGTCATGCTCTTGCCTGCATACAAATGAGAATACTAGACATTGAGCCCTTCATCCACCCTACTTATCATGTGGCAACATATACCAAGGCATATGCTCCATCTTTTAAAGCAATGCCTGATCATCAACAGTGGGAGGTCACACCATATCCTAAGCCTTTGCCACATGCACATAGAAAGTTACCAGGGAGGCCTTCTAGCAAGAAAAGATAGAAGGAAGCTGGAGAAGACCAAGAGAGGAAGAATGTGAAGAGGTCAAAGTAGCAAAACAAGTGCTCCAATTGTGGTGGGTTGGGGCATTACTAAAACAAGTGCCCAACTCCACCTATTGATAAGCTAAAGAGGAAGCCTGGAAGACCTAAGAAGAATGCAACAGCAGGGGAAGCAGAAACAAGGCCACCAGTAGCAGGGGAAGCAGCAGGAGCAACATCATCACAACAACTCAGTCAAGCTGCCCAAGCTTCACAACAATCCATCTCACTTTCTGCACTCCAGCATGGAACCCAACATGCTAATTAAACAATGACAAGCACTTTGTGATGTATTTTTTGAACAATAATTTCATCATACTATTCAAATGCTAATGTATTTAAGAGCAGCTAGATTAAGGATGCATGTTTGCTTGTAACAACTGATATTTTGGGACCTATTTCTGTACTGGTGTTTTAAGCATCATATGCTATGCTAATCATGTTTCCAACTTCATTGCTCTACTTTTTGTACAGTCTTTTTGCATAGTCTTTTTGCTTCAATGTATTTGCATAGTCTTTTTGCTTCAATTATCATTACAATATTATTCAAATTGCAAATTACAGTAATGAAACTTGGAACAATGACAAGTAATATGTACCAAATTAGATTGCATTTTTATTTCATCAAAAGGTCCAAAATACATCAACCAATAAGCAACATAAACTACCATACATCATCACCATAACGACTACTTAGCAATCTACCGTACATCATCTACCTAACACATAATTAACAACCTACCCAAACTAGCCAAACATTTTCACCAACAACACACTAACAATCATAGAAACAACAACACATATGCCAACTTGCTTAAACCCCCCCCCCCCCCGGTTGTATCTCTGGTATAAAGCCTCTTTGCATCCCCCATTGAAGATTGTTGTAATCTTCTAGGCAAGCATTCCTAGCCTTTACAATAGTAAACTCGGTTGCCCTCCTGTGCCTTTCAGCAAGTAGAACATTAATCACTTCACACTGCCACTCCGTTTGCTCCTCATCCAGCCATTTAAACGTGTTGCAACCTCGTTCTCTAGTTCGTGGTTGTACTTTTTGCAAGCCTCGAACCTTCTTCCTGGATTTTCATGAGTCCAAGAAGTTCTCTTCGTACAAGGAAAGCCACATCCGCAATTCATCATTTTACCTACAAAATTAGCAACAACAATAGAGGTATCAGTCAAGAGAAAAGAACGCACAACCACAGAAGAATTAGAGAATAGAGAAGAACGATGGAGCGCTACAACAGTGAATTCATCACTACAATTGTTGAAGAAATAGATGAAGAACCTTAATTTACCTTTTAATTGACCTGATTTTGGGTGAAGATTGAAGGATTTATGTCTTCGTCAAGTGCAATTACTAGATATATAATGGATCAAATTATGGAGATGATTAAGTTCGTACATTTGGGACTTCGTTATATCATAGCTAGAGATACTAAAGATCTTTGGGCTAGTAAAATAGGCCAAAGCAAAATTGGACGGATCCTATAAGGTCACACAAAGGGCCTAAATCAAGCATAAGAGGATGAGGCCCATGATGGGCCTCATCACTCTAGGTGGCCGGCCATGAGGCTTGGTTTGGAGGGTTTTTAGGCTTCCTAACCTAGTCTAATTATAATAGGATTAGACTTAGTGCCTAGGTTTTTACACAACATAGTTTTACTATTAAGTTAAAACCCTAATTAGCAAACACGAGACCCAACACCTCAAACTCCCCTCTCTCTCATGGCTCTCTCCTATTCCCTAGGCGTCGGTGGTGTGCTCTAGGTGATGGTGTTCGTGTGGTGTCCAATTGTCCAAGAAAGGTGGTGATCGCGATTTTCCCCTTCACTCGACCAATCTAGCATTGGTGGACACTTGTTCGAATCCCGTGAACTAAGTAGAGGAGTCACGCTTGGGGCTCTGTTCTCTCCCTAATTTGTCACTCGAATAGTTACGTGGAATTCACGCTTCAAAGGTATAATTATGTGATTCTTGTGTGTTATGCATGTGATCCTTTTTTAGGTGCGTATGAATGTGATTCATGAAATTCCGGTTATAGTACCTAAAGTCCTACAGTGGTATTAGTTAGCCTCTTGCATGAACATGCTTGATTATAATAATACAATTATTTGAAGTCCATGTTCATAATTTTATCATCAATTAAGAGTGAGAAATTAATTTAATTATGGTTCAATATAATTATTATATTAAATATGATTTAACTCTTGGAATTGATTAATGTGATTTAATTATGCTCAAAATAGCCTAGAGTGGACCAATTAGTTGCCCTAATTTTCTCGAAATTTTCGAACACCCCTAACCCTAATTTCGAATTTTTAGAAAATATTAGCCCTAAAGTTTGATTTTGTGCTTGATTTTGGTTAAATTCGATTTACTTTCATAATTTTAATTAGATTGATTTATGTATAAAAATGTTGTGTATGATCATCAATTTAATTTTAAAAGTTAGAATTAAATTGGGATTAATTTTATGAAGAACCTTAATTTTAAAATTGAATAGGGATTTAATTTTAATTATTGGACTGATTTGATTTATTTTTAACAAAAGTTGTTTTAATTAAATTAAAAAAAAAATTATTTAAGTGGTTGGCAGCCACGGCTGGGTGGCGCAGCTACGGTGTCTGCCGACCGGCGTCAGCCAAAGAGGGAGGGGGGAGGGCAGGTAGTCCAAAGGGTTGCTGCCGTGGCTGCCGTTGTTGTTGTTGTTGCTGCTGCTGCTTCTTGCGGCAGTGGCTGCTGAAAGGGAGCCAGCCACCGTGGCTGGCCACGCACGGTGGCCTGCAGCCAACAGCAACACTGCTACCATTATTGCCTTACAACAGTGGGTGTTGGGGAAGCGCCCGACCACCGTGGCTAGCTTCGGCTTGCCAACCAAGGTGGCTGGCGGTTTTTTTTTTTTTTTTTAAAAAAAAAAAAAATTGTTTTAAAATATTTTCAAAATAAAATCAAATTTTATTTTGGGATAAAATCAAATTTCAAAAGTTGTTAAATTTGGTGATTATCCATAATTAAAGTGGTTAATTTTGTATAGGATTTGTTAGGATATTTTGAGCATATTCTAAAAGGATAATAATTGATTTAAATAATGTGATTATCCCATAATTAGATTAGGAAATAATTGATTTTAAAATTATTTGATTGGCTAGTAATTAGGATAGAATCTCCTAAATTAGTTAGGATAATCATGGAAAATAAATATGATTTATCTCTCCATATTAAAATAAGATTTGATTCTATCTCATGCCAAATTTAAAATATATGATATTTTATGGATGACAATGAAGAATATATGATATTATCTAATTATAATTAAAAATATGAGATGTTTTAGGAATTGCGTTGCCTTAATTGTGAACATTCGATGTTATAGTTTAGACAAGCGTGTTGAGTGATTTATTATATGGCACTTTCATATAATATTTGATATTATGTTGCTATATATAGACTAGTATGGCCCATATATTCTAAATACGATCTGCGCATCGTGATGTATTTTGTAATCTAAATACGATATTCGTACTGTTAAGTATTTTTGTAACTTTTAATTTAAAGTAAATAGATTAGTTATTTAAATAGTTTAGTCCAGAGAATCCCATGAAATGAAGGCCCAAAGGAGCAAAGTGGATGGAGATCCATGAAGGTTCAAGTGGGAGCATTTCAAGTTTAGTTTCTTAGGACTAAGGGGCCATACTATGTCATGTTTTATATATGCATTAGTAGATCATGCATGTTAGATTTTATTGATGTTTGTGATGATGCGCTAGAGTTCACTAAATAATCACAACATAATAAATCTAGGTCCCGGTAATATTGTGATTGATTTTCCAATTAAATACCCAACAACCCTTCGATCGTGAGTGATGGGTCTGCCTTGCAGGGTGTCACTTGTTATCTTAAGTAATTTGGGGTAGATCACGTTCTACACATTTAATTGTTTGTGCTCAACAAGGTTACCTAAAGCGTTTAGACCCTTGAAGCAAAGGGTAATAATTAAACATGTGATGGTTAATTATTCAACCAAGAGTTACAAGAGTTGTAATCAGTAAAGAGTTTTCTCACCTTGAAAATGTAATGGTTGATGGTAGGGCCTCAGTCCGATCAACTATTACACAAATAAAGGATCTTGGAATCACTTAATTCAATTAGGATCATTATTTATTATTGAATAAAGTGCTTTAAAGTAACCTATTTAATTTGTTTATGGTTCTTTAAATTCATTAAACATAATTATTAAACTTTGTCTTATTTTGTAATAGATGGGTAGCCGTAACAATGACAACAACATTTACAACCTTCGACCATTCCTTGAGAAGGATACGTTGACAGGAGACAACTTTTCCAATGGGAAAGAATGCTTAGACTTTTTCTGAAATCTAAAGGTAGAGAGGATGTCATTGACACCCAATTGCCTGCACCTTTGCCAGAAAATGCAACTGAGGCTCAGAAGCGTAGGCATAAGGAGACTCTTGATAGAGCTGTGCCAATCACGTGCTTGCTGATTGCTACTATGGAGCCTGGCCTTCAAAAGCATTTTGAAGACCAGGATGCGTACACCATCATGCAAGAACTCAAAGACTTGTTTAAGAAACAGGCACGAGTTGAGAGGTACGAGCTCCATCGAGAGATTTTGGATTGTAAGATGGAGAAGGGTGCAATAGTTCATGATCATGTTTTCAAAATGATCAGCCTTATTCAAAATATGGAGAAACTGGGGCACCCATACAACAATAAGATGGCTACAGACATCATTCTCCACTCACTTCTAGAATCCTTTAATCAGTTTATCATGAACTTCAACATGTCTGATGCTGAGAAGACTATGAATGAGTTGCATGCTATGATGGTTAGTGCATAGAAACAAATCCCCAAGGACGTTAAGAAAGAGGTTCTTATGGTCCAGAAAGGGAAGGGGTTCAAGAAGAAGGGGCAAGGAGCAAGTGCCAAGAGCAAGGGCAAGAA